AACCATAAAAAACTCTTCATGTAATTGTTTTTGTGTGGCTGAGCTGTACCATTATTCTGTATGGCGTTGCATGTGTTTTTTTTGTACGGACTGTCCAGTTGTATTGCACAATTACTGGTTCTGGGGTTGTCTTCCTGTATTGTACAACGTTGACGCCGCTGTGTTGTGCAAATTTATCAATACTAAGGTTGAAGAGCTGACTTGTACTGGGTGTTTAGTAATGTGATTTATGTCTGTCGACTTGAAGTGTAACATGGTAAGTTTTTGTCTCTGTACACATATTGTGGACTAGACAAGCTGGATTGTAGCATGCATGTTCTGAGTTGCTGCACAGACAGTTTAGATTATGAATTTGTTCCGATGTATCAGACAATGGTTGTGTGTGACTGATCTGTGTATATGTATCGATTGTATGGTTGGTTCTCCAGCTGGTTGGCACAATCATTGTTCCATGTCTTACTGAGAAAGTGAGTGAGTTGGGTTTTACGCCGCTTTTAGCAATATCCCAACAATATCACCAGAAATAGGTTTCACATATTGTACCCAGGTGGGGAATCGAACCCGGATATTCGGCGCAACGAGAGAACCCTTTAACCACAACGGCTACCCCACCTCACCCAGTAATGAGAGAGAGAAATATACTATGACCGTTGCTGGGTGACCAAACGAATGTGTGCTAAACACTGATACGATGGAAAGTTGGACTGGCTGTTAACCCCACCCCACACACACACACACACGCACGCACGCACGCACGCACACACACGCACAGGCACACGCACACATGCATATTACATACATATATACATACATAAAATCTTTATATAGCGCTAGTTTCTGGCATGTGCCACTCAAAAGCGCTGGAGACGAGTCTGGAAAGACATTGTTCAAGTACGGCAGGCAACACTAAACAAATGCGTTTTCATTTGTGGCTTGAACGCTGGTAGGTTATGTTGTGATCTGAGATGCATAGAAGTTACATTTACAGAAACTAAACGCGTTCTTTATCAATAAAACATCCATGCCAGGTTGATTGTAGGATGTCGACTGTATCAGTTGTTTATACATCATTACCAAATAGTGTATTATATCAGATGCTCGCAAGGACTTGAGCCTATCCTTTGCCGCTGGTGGTCACTGTAATACGTGAAATGACGCAATACCACGCGGCGAGCTCGAAAACACTGTGGAAGACGGCCAGTGACAGAGAATAACCAGTGTCCTGAACAAAGTCCACTAGACCTTCAAGGAAACTAGCTCGGTAGCCTAAACTCACTGACACAAGGGTTTGCGAGAGGTCAGTATGCATTGCATAAGAAGCGTACCTTACACAATTTATTTAAATGAGTAATTAAGCATGTTTGTTGCAATGTGACGGTTGCCTCTGAACAAACGAGACAATAAATAATAAATTCAGTTAAAAGTTCCCGCAAGGATGTAGAAGCTTCTTTTTCTGCCATGTATGGATCGACATCAAAGATTTTATTTATGTTGTCATTGCAAGCGTCAAAACCTTTTAACCATCTCTGTTAAAAGAGTCCATTGTACTATTCCGTCTACATCATGGGCATGCGGTTTTGAATCCCTATCAATGGTGATGATACCAGATACGGGAAAGGTGTCCTGCCCCACTTCTGGCAACCGTCATAAACACATATATTGGCTAGTCAACTGTTCACCAAAAGCAACACGGAAACGTATTCCCCGTTTCCAGTTTAAAGGGTGAGTAAATCGGGAAAGCTTATATAGTACAACAAAAGTAAATAAAAATATCATAATCCTTTCCATAGTCTTCAGAATTAACCGCGGTCTTTACTATATCGCAGGCCTGTGTGTGTTCTACCTGTATGGCAATAACACCAGCTGTTTGCATACACTGATAACAGGCCCTCGTGACTTTGCGGGGGTAAAGATTGCAAAAAATCTGATGATCCCCGACTCGAAATGCTTCAAAGTGTAGTTATATAAAATGGTCACCTTTTGAAGTCTTTCTCTCTCTTTTTTTAGGGCTCCTTGCCTCTAGGCAGGAGACCTATTGTAATCGTTCGGATTATTATTATTATTATTATTATTTATTATTCCGCCGATTTTTGTACCAAACATAACTCCTAAACCAATGCTCCGAATCGCTTACAAAAAATCACACAGATGCGCACCGAGGTGTATATATTCCCCTTAAAAATCTCTAGGCTCTTGGCCCAATAGCAAAGGGGACATAATTCAAAATTAATTCCAAAATTTCAACGTTTGACAGCAAATATCTCAAGAACTAATTGTTCCAACACTTCCAAATTTCGTGTACAGATGCACAATCGAATTCCCAACAATATTGCCTGGACGGGTCAAGTCGCTAAAACGTACCGTTTGGCAGTTATATTTGTTTTCAGTTTTTGGCCATGTTTTTCAGCACTTTTCTGAGTAGTTTGCTCCCAAAATATGCCAGTATGGTAAAGGTTGGTTATTTAACGGTTATCAAATGATCATCGATGCACCTCAAGTGTAAAGAGAATTCCTTGGTCAAATTACATTTTCCACTTAGCCAATCCGAACAGACATTTGGATTATCCTGAATTGCCTACTCTTTTGCAGTATCCGTAACGATGTCGTTATTGTCAGCAATAGAGATGTTTGGACATGTGACATGACATGATAGGCACAAGTAGTGGAGTTTTCATAGCCCCCCAAATAAGCGACTTTGACCGAAAGCTTAACATACGCTTCAGGTATATCAAAGGTTTGACATAATCAATAATGGCCAAAGCTTATTCAGCCATTTGAAAGAGCAGTGAAATAGACAAAACACTGTCCAAAGGACTTCAAATGGCAAATGTGTACATTGAGTACAATGAAGCATGCCCTTTATCTAGGGGACGGTGGGCGAGCTGTGCTCCAGCGAGGTTGAGGTGTCGGGATCGAGCCCACCTGTGACCGGGTGTAAAAACCTTGGAGTCAACTTTGTGTGTGGACTCTTTCAGTGTTGTCACAACCCATAGTGTACAGTACACAACCCTGTGCACTTAAAAGAACCCACGAATCCGTTGGTATATGACCAGATGGTGGCCACATGAATACGTGCAATCACCTAGTTGCAGGTACAGCAACGTGCAGTGAACTTGGACAAAGTACTGTGATTATGTGTCCCAGTCCACCCAGCTGTGAATAGGTACCTCGGAAAAGGATGGGAAAGCCACAATAACTCAGTGCGCCTTGTGACAGCAAGTTGGGAGTTGGGATCGATAATACGATGTGCCGTTGAGATTGACATCCAATGATCGAGGGAAAAAGTACCAGCGCCTTGAGCATGCACTAGTTGCGTGGATATGTGCGCTATATAAATATACTATAATAATAATATTTAAAGACTAGCCTGATATGATTCTTACTAGAAGGTTGTTTATGGCCTCAGTAAATTTTGAAAAAAGTGTTACGGGAGACATGCGTTCTATATTTCCAAATGTATGCATCAGAGATGTGATTCCCAATTTGTCGTTGTATCATACGTTACTGTGTTTAAAGAGAATGGTGACTGTAATAGCATTCAAAGCCTCAAAATACCATTTAATAAAACTTTAATGGCACTTGTCCAATGAAATTCCCAATTTCTAACTTGTAACATATGTTTTCCTGTTGTTCAGGTAAACACAGGATTGCCCAAAGTGCAGTGTTTGTGACGGCTACTACAGGAGGCAGGATACACTGACATATTTTCGAACAGACTTTGATAATGATGCACCAATACATTCATAAGCTAATAGTGGGGATCGTGCCGTGGACGCTGCTTTTAGTATTAAGGTTATTCAAACAGTTTTGTCTCAAGTCATTATATTTATAGTATAATTCGTTCAGCGGCAGGTACTAGCAAGATCTGTCCAGACCCGTGTAAATATCATTCACAGATTCGTCTACTTATCCATTTGTAATTCACGCGGTTGATTTTTTAAATAATCTTTCAGTAGAAAGAATGATTTTAGTTACACAGCGAAAATGGCGATGTATAGGTAATTAAAAAAGTCACTCTAAAAGCCATGACGTAGATATATGCTACATTTCTATCATAATTCACACCATTATTTAGTGTACACTAAGACACTGACGTCTGATGGTATGTGCATTTATTTTGTTTGTTCAAACCTCTCCCTCTTCTATAGATCTGAATTGATTTTAAACGAGAGGCGCTGTGACGAAATAGTTTGGCTCCATACTGGAACCCACAGGCCACACTGAAACCCACAGGCCCTATTGAAACCTACGTAAATTCAGATCAAGATTCGTTGTACCAGACATCCGGTCTGCCATTCTACGATCACAATCGCCCATTTTACCACTGGAAGTTACATTGTACTTCCATAAAAATATAGGGTTTACATGACTCATGTTTTAAAAAAAATGGCTTTGGTTGAAGAACAATATCACTACCGGGATCAGGGTGGTCATGCTCGCTTACTTGGTTTACACATGTCATCGTATCCCAATTGCGTAGGTTCATGATAATTTGTCATGCATTTGCAAATGTCATCTGACGGGTAGTGAGAGAGCAACATGTGAAAAGTCTGGGCTTCCCCATTCATGAAATCTATGAGAAATGTAGGGCATTCATGACTTTGTGATTATCTGCATCCGGTAAGATTAGCGATGAAGCATGCATCCGCAAGCACGCCAAGTGTCCATGCCAACCCATCTCTTCCATGTTTATCTTATATGCTTAAATAAATATTTAAATAAATATTTAAATAAATAAATAAATAAATAAATAAATAAATAAATAAATAAATAAATAAATAAATAAATAAATAAATAAATAAATAAATATTATTTAGAGAGAAAGGTCGAATTCGTTTAGTCAGACATTGTCTAATTTCTAAATACATGGCTTAACAATGCCGTTTTTGCTTAATGGATCAACTCTGTAAAGGATTCCAACCAACAAAATCGAGGCTAATGCATGTACGGCATGGATGATTGATTTGTTGTACTGATCAATATGTAATTCTCGGTTTCAGAAAGAACATATGTGACGGTGTTTACTGAGAACTTACGGGCCGCCTCTGCAAGCACGCCATTGTACATGTCTCTGTACATCAGCTCATCGTGTCCACAGCCAGTGATAGTTGAAGTGTTTGTTCCGTACCTTAACACCGCAGCTCCTTTCCAAAACCTCACGCTTGACCCAGGACAAAGAACCAAGGTCACATTGCCTGCTGATGTTCAGATGCCTAAAGGGACGAGGACGTCAAACAGGATTATCCGCGTCGTGGCTTCCGACGATATCACAGTATTGGCACTAAACGCAGAACCGTCGAACCTTGATATGTATCAAGTGAAAGAGACGAGTCAACTGGGAAAGGAGTATGTGGTCGTGGCGCCGGACTCTTACACTGCCCAATCTGCAGCTACGGTGGGAGTAGTCTCCCCTTTTCCAAACACTGAAGTGAAGGTCACACTTCCAGACATGCATCCTACCATTTCTGCAGTAATAAATGGAGCCCCAAAGATATTATCTAGAGAGTTCTCAATCACACTGCAGGGAAACCAGACGTTTCAGATTCAGTCCGTTAACGAACTTTCTGGAATGTACATTGCATCTAACAAACCCATTGCCGTTTTGACTGGAGTAAACAGGACAAAATCTTCCGACGGTCTGTGTTTGGACGGGCAGATAACCCAGCTTCTTAGTTTGGACAAGATAGGCACGAAATACATTGCATTTGGGTTACCTTTGTCTGATACTAAAGACTATATAAACATTGTCTCCACACAAGCTGGCACGGACATCTCATTTGATGGAACTACGATAAAACTCACCAGTGCAAGGGAGGTAACTAGAAAACGTATTCAGCGAAATCAGTTCAAATTGATTGAAATGTCTAAACCAGCAGTCGTATCCATGACAACTGCATCAGGTAAATCACCCACTATCCAGGGTGATGTGTCCAACTACATGCTCCATCCTCTTCCACTGAGGGACCTCGTCTACACAATCACAATGCCGGACGCCACGGCTTTCTCCAGCCCTCGAAGATACCTTGTCGTCATGGTTGAGAACGATGGCGTGGGTGACATTCTGTTGGACGACGTTGTCATCTCAGGAGCCTCATGGGTACCAGTCACGGGCACCAATATTTCAGCATGCTTCTATTCGGTGACAGATAATACGGAGGCCAGAGTCCTGAGACACAGACGAGGAAAGCCGTTGGCTGTGTATTTGCAGGGCTTCAGTCATTGTAATGCATACTCTATTGCATTTGAAGCCAATGAAAGAGATGTAAGTACACAGATATATTAAATAGTAAGCAAACAGAAACATTTTAATGCAATGTTGTTTTGTGGAGGTATTTGATATTGACAGTTCAGTCAATGTTTAGCCCAAAATATGCAACCGTAGAAAATAGCAACATGATGAATTTTAGTCGTTTCAGTATCGGAAATTTTATACACACACACCGCCCAGACCTGGCTTGAAAATGTCAGACAATTATCTGATTTAACTGAACATCAGTCATGTGTGTAATCACATTACAATTTCATAGTTTAATTAGCCCTATCTCATTTCATGTAGACTTCATTGTAATCTGTATAACGTTTTTCACTTGCCGGTTTTCCCCTGGAAGGTCATCAGAAGGTGCTTTAGAATAGCTGATGCAACAGTACTTCTGGCGTTTGGGTCATCAACTGTCCCAGTTGTAATCTAACTACATGCAGTGATATTCAGTAGTTTTGCTACAGGCAGAGGCGAGTGAATAGACGGAGGTCTATCACAAGCTGTAGTCCGGTTTTGGCCCTGTCGAATCTAAAGCTGAATTTGCAAGAGAATATTAACACATCCACAACATCAGTATGATCAGAAGACATCTTGATGCCAGTGCAACATCATCGCATCAGGGGTTGAAGCGATTGAGAATGGTAGATGCAAGTGCATCCTTGGACTATCACAAAACCACCGAAACTACACTGTTGCTTGTATTAGCCAATTCAACATGGCGTTGCAAACAGACATGACATGACGTCAACACGCTGCTAATTTCCACACAACTAGTAACACCGAGTGGTCATATTTTCTTTTTATAAATTTTCATCTGAAATACTTCTGAAAATCGAGCAAAGTTCGACAAGTTTGACAGGTCTTACATGACCATGTCACTTACAGCGAAGGTCCACATTTCATTTGCAGGTGTTGACGTATGTGCCTCTCTGTGGAAAGCCAAACAGTCAAATGAAAAGAGAAAGCTACAGGCTTCACACCTGAAGTCTTCCGAAATGTCATCAAATGTGTAGCTCTGTATATTCTGAGGAACAATTTATTTGAGTACACAGAAGCCAGATTCCTTAGCACTGTCAACATTACACATGCATCTGCTGGCACACCAAAGTTGGATCCTCTGCAAATACATTTCGGTCCTCAAAGAAAGATAGCATTGACTTGGTGTCAATGTTTCTTGTTTGTGTGTCTTCTCTGTGTAGATCACAAGTGTTGAATTCAGTGTCTGTCAACTGTTCCATCGTCATGCTGATGTCTGCATAAGCTGGTCTTGTGAGGAACACATTCTGATATGACCCTGTTGCTTGTTGTCCCGTTTGGACCTTGAGTGTTCACTTTCAGATAGTTTTGACAACCAAAATGTATACCCTATATGGCAATTTCAAGGAGTTAATTTAGATTTGAGGCACCCATGCCATGAACAATGGTTTCTATATGGAAAGCTCATAGTCCTGGCATGGCTGCTTTTAGATCACTTGTCACTGGTTCATTTTTCATTGCCGTCAGTGCTTTCCCAAATAGCGGCTTGTCGAACGTGACAACCGACTCAGAATTGCCTTGCTGCATAAAAAACACGGGCATAACTGTTAAATATGCAGGTGTGGTCACTGGGAGTCATGCGAAGCATTGGTAGGGAATGGATGAAGGACTGTTGTGTCGGCAGTTTTCCAGAGTATTCTTAAAGATAGGAAATCAAATTTCCACGTTGAATCATTACCAGATGGGAGACATAACTCCTGATAGACATCCTGTTCCCATGACGTTTGAGTGAGGTAATCAACTGTTTCTGAGATCCTTTAAACTTGCCTCGGGAGTTTGGTTGATGGATTGATTCCTGCAATGATCAAGACATTTTACCGGGATATGACATTCCATAGATACTTTGACGCTGATAAACTGAGCACTTACGCGGTAATTTTATAATAATCATTATATTCATGATACATGGTATTTCACAGAGTTGCCTTATCATTGCTTGGAGCCTGATTTACCATAGACTTTGTAACTGGTCTCCGCCGTCAGCAATTACCTATGCACATGTAATAAACTGAAAACACTACATGGAAACCGGGATTCACAGTAATATATAAATACAGTGGACACTTGCCTTGTCAAGATACTAAATAGTATTGTCAAGCATATCATCAGTAATGATGTCCCGAAGCCACGTAGATGCATGTCAGCAATGTCAGCATGAAGAGTTATTTCCTTTCTACGATAAGCTTATCCTCAAGGAAGCACGTAAAATCAGTCGATCAAATTTATCTTTAAGGGTATAACTATCCATCCATCCATCTACCCATCCATCTATCAATCCACCCACCCATCCATAAAGTTGATCGCATTCAACATCTTCCTGAGAGATTTTCTAGGGCTTAGGTCCTGCTCCACACGGAAGCATATGGACCACGTGCTTTCACCTTAGGCGAGTGTCTTTGATTTGAATAGGCCCCTGTTCAGGCAGCAACATGGGAACCCGGTATGATGACATGGTAATATGACTATTGCAATCTTAGCCCATGACAAAGCAGGATCAGTTGTTTCATCCCAACACACCTTGTGAACGGAGTGGATGAGCATGGTTTTACGTCGCTAGTAGCAATATTTCAACAATACCACCACATGGGCACAAAAGAAATGGGCTTAACACATTGTACTCATGTGAAGAATCGAACCTGGATGTTCGGCGGGACGAGAGAACGATTTAACCATCAGCAGCCCTTCTGAACAGCAGTATAACGACATAAGTACAGGCTTTATCCTTATTCTTACACTAGAATTTAGTAACATCAGAATGCATGGCACACATTGCCTGCATTATTTTGTTTATTGAGAGTCAGTTCTTACTCCCTTTGATGGATGAATTAATCACGACCGCCGTCTTAGAAAATCTTAATTGTAGAATGACGCCAACTTTGTTTTGTTATAGCTTAGAATGTGACGTCATTCCAACCGTAAGCAATTAGAATGGCGTCAATGCTGCTGGGCTTTATGTGAAGTGATATTTGCATTCTGGCACAAACATTGCATGACTTCATTTAGTTCTAATCTTATGGTTAATATATACATTTTGTGTCAAAGTAACACCTGGTAGCTATTTCAACAACTGCATAAACACAGGCACTGTCAAACATTGGTTAATGTCTGTTGACACCTGAACGTATATACATAAATTAGCAGAGTAATCTATTGCATGTATTTGAAACCTCAGCATGAACGACTGCTTTGTTGAGTTACAGCGGATGTTATGTTTGTTGTTTGTTTGAAGTTGGTTACACGCTATCAATGAAACCAACAGTCTATGTCCAACTAAAAGGCGTCCAAATCAACGGAGTTTCAGCATTGAGATTTATTGATAGTGCTTCTATGATGTTATTTTTTATTTCATTTCGTTTCAGAAACTTCTCCCTGAAGCCAACCGATTACAAGGTTTGTATTTCGAACAAAAACATAACAAATGAGCATCTATTTATATTTGTTCAGTAAAATGCATCTAAGGTACTAGTATCCCAACACCACTCCACCTTGACGAAGAAGATGCAAAATTAACTTTTCGAAATAGCAATAACATGTGTACGACGGTATGGTAGAAATAATCTTTTGTTGTTAAAATAAGATTTACAATGTCTACCCAAAGTGTCATTAAAAGCTTTACAATATTGACTTAATTCTAAAAGGTGGCATCGGTATGACATACGGATAGGGCGCAAATCCTGTTTCTCTTTGTCTTAAATCCAAACAGTGTTCTCGTGGATTTAACATGTTGCGTAATCGCCTGGACTTGCATTATTTCAGCCCCTATTCACATGAAGGTGGTTACGCCATGCTATAAATGAAATACTGTAAGCTAGCGACGTCTGCAGGCCTCATGGTACGCTTGGCAAATCAGATAAAAGATGCTTTTCAGAAGTTGACGTTTTGCATGAATATATTCTTTAATTTGAGTATGAATGAACATAATATGACGATGACAGCCAGGGACTAGAGTAGTATACACAATGGGGCTACGGGACCAGGTACCCCCCAAGGGTTCAATTTAAAAATTGAATAATTGGAAAGTCCCTAATCCTGTGGCCAAATTGTGTATACTACTACTGAGGTCCATGCAAAATTTGATGAAAATGGGTGAGCATGGGTCGGTCGGGAAAAAGGCTCGGGTCGCCTCGGGGTGATTGCTCCTCCGAGTGCTGTGGAGCAGAAAAATAGGCATGCGAGACTGATAAAAAATCATGACGAGAAACTATCATCACACGGTGGGTGATGTGTAAGGGACTGTGTCGTGAGGTACGATCATCAACTCCTCTCTGACGAATGCTATCGGCGGTCCATCTTTTATCAAGAGCACAAAAATGGTCAGGACTACTAGGATTGGTACTACCATTTTGCATTTTCCCCCCGCAACAGTAGTCGAAAATTTCAAATTAGAGATTTGGTAGTTCCAATGTATAGCACTACATACAGCAGAAGATGGCAACCAAAACAACTTTCCAACAAATGGGCCTGCTGGTCGATAAGTCTGTAGGAGCACATCTACTCCTAAAAATCACTATAGACAGCAATCTTGTGTCGAATATCGCCGGCGTCGACTATTTTGCTGGCCATCCTGGTAGAACAAATGTACAAACTTTGGAAGGTCTACCTACATTCGTAGACGATATATACGTGTTTGGCTACCTCCAACGCAAAGACTGTGTTTGCAAGAACGCCAAAGTATCCTGTACGACTGGAAGGGATGGTTCCGCACAACTCGTCGTTTCCAGATCTCCATCACAGTACAAGAGTCTTTGGCGAACCCCAAACATGTGCAAACAAATATCCTACACACGATAGGAATACGAGAAGACAACTGTGGATCAATACGGAGCACCATCACTAGAATAGAGAGAGAGACTGGAAAGAGGTGAGGTGAAATTGGGTTTAATGTCGTGCTTGAGAATATTTCACTCATATGACGACGTGCATGCATGTGTATGTGTATGTGCGGCTGCTTGTACTAGCCCAGACTGAAGCTGGTTTTATAGTGCTAGCCCACTGAGATACCATGCCGCAGTGAAGCATGAATACCCCACTCAGACACATAATACTGACTCCGAGCCGACCAGTCCTTGTTGTACCCATTAATGCCGAGCGCCAGACAGGGACCAACAAGTACCATATTTTAACGTCTTTTGGTATGACACGGCCAAGGATCGAACCCGCGACCTTCTGCTCTCCGGGCGGACGCTCTAACCACTACACCACGGAGGCGGTCCAAGACCGGAAAGAAAGCAAAAGACAAGTGGCAAGAACTATATCCGGTAGAGAAGGCATACGCACTATTCCTAGCAAAGATAGACGTTTGCGAAATGCCATCGGCAAGCTACAAACGTCGATTCCAAAACTAGAACGCCAACTACTAGCACACGGCTATGGACTGTATTCTATCGACTATACAAGAGATTTCTCTGGTGTGCTGGACCGCATGCAACTGGTGAAATACTTTTGGAAGAAACATGGTTTCCAAGAGCAAGGAGACTTATCTTCTGCTATGCAGTCGAACAGTCATACAATTCTAGACAATATGGGTAGTGTTGGGGCCCACGTCTGTATTTGGGTCAAGACCTGGAATGGCTATACAACGTATAACAAAACTCTACATCAAGGTTCTTTCCAATTTCGAAACGGGAGATGTCCGGGAGCACATCTGGCAGACTATATGGATAGCCCAAACAAACGCTTGCGGAAAACTTTTCTGCATCCAGATGTGCAAGCCCGTGGTTGTACTCGCATAGAAGTTTTGCTCTACGCACATCCACACAACTCGGAAGAAATAGCAAACGATTTGGTAGAACAAACTCTAGAGATGGTATCTCCTCCTGACACCAACTTGTTCGTAGTACAACCACCAGCAAAACAATGGGAAAACCTATCTAAATGTCTGGACCGTTGTCTCGTTCTGGCAGATCACCCACAGGGCACCATATTCGTAGCTTGGTATGCACATTCAGAGACAGGTAAAATTTCTGGGGTCCGTATTTCTCCTACAAGAGCAGATGATGATGCTACATGGGAGAAAGCGATAGAATGGGCTGTAGCAGATTTTGGTTTCCGAGCATGTCCAATATTTCGGGTAGATATACTCTTTGCTACAGATACTAGTGTGGAGCTAGGTCCACTACGTTGCTATACAAAGGATCCCGATGCTAAAACGATACTGTCTGTTAGTAGAAGACCAACCCAGCTACATCCAAATGGAGCCGATCCAAGTGTTCTATTGCCTTCTTGCAAGACAGTACAGTTGGAATGGAGAACAGCCAAATGTAGCACCATAGGCAAGGTTCTTCCAAATTCGAACTGCAGGAAGTACCAGAGATTGCAAAAGACAGAGAAGTATATTCTGGATCTGCTAGGGATCAAGGAAAACGATTGCAAGAAATACAAGAAGAGCATGTGTGGAAGAATGGAGAAGAGAAGCATGGGCTATCCTAGAAGGCAGAAAGACAGCACGGCAGATAGAACAAGAGCAGTGTAGAGAAAAAAAGAACTGGAGCGACTAGGAGAAATAGTACGGGAGAAAAAGGAATACACAAAGCGATCGGAAGAAGCTCGCAAAGAGGTAGAAACGTCTCTACGACATACACAAACGAAAAATATAGCAGACGTTGCACATACTACATGGTCCATTCTAGGATACGACAAACAACCAGAAAGACAAAGAGCCAGCATAGTACTCTTGTTGCAAAAAGGTGTAGAAATGCCAATTGTGGTTTGGGCAAACAAAGATTGGAGCGTGTGACTTTGTGGAGACCACTACGGACAAATACGGACGGAAAACGTGTTGGATACCAAGAGGCTTGGCCAGCAACGAAGAATACACTGTTGGCCTGCACAACAAGCAAGCGAGGTCAAAAAGCGCTTTAGTATTGGGTCCACAAGGCTGTACGAACTATGGCAAGAGCCTGCTGTAGAACCTTCGACCCCATCGCCCACCGAAGAGATAACTCCGACCACGACGCACTCCAGTACGACTGTATTGCCTGTCGCATAACCGGCGGACATCTTGTCCGCTAGCGAGACAGCTCCAAAGTTGTCGACCGGCCAGGACTTCTACTATCGTCTTGGGAGGCTCGATGCTCGTGCGGAGCAAACCGTGACTACGTTGTCGGCTGGTGTGCAGCGAACGACGAATTTGTTGGTCGACATCTTGTCGAGGCTGGACAAGGATGACAACGAACTCCGGGAGGAAATAGAAAGCATCGACGAGGAGGAGGATACACGTTCGGATATCGAGAAGGTGCTGCAGACGGTAGAATCGACCCAAAAGTGGACCTACCTTTCGCTAGCCGCCTTGTTTGAATGGAATGTCGTCTACAAGACCTGGAAGCATGCCAGCACACCGCCGGCCGCTGCTCACCACGCAACACTGGTCCACAAACATGTCTACGAGACGCCAAAACATATCGACCCCCACCACATGCTGTAGAAAAAAAAAATATATGTGTAAGCAATTGGAAATATAGTATATAGAACTACATATTTTTGCAGCAATGCATATTGTGTACAAGAGAGGAAATCCACTCCGCTTCCCATTCGAGGAATTCGACAAAGCAGAGGCTGCATACTGGAAAGAGAACCCTATTGAATATTCTTCTGTGGACAAAAGCTACGACAAATGGCTGGGGAAGGCCCAATAGACCAACCAGCTCGTATACTAGGCCACTTTGGCAAACATACAGCAAAACGGTTTTTCGTCTCCACAAAGTCGTGGTTCTCTTCCAGCACACGCTCCAATATTTTGTTTGCCCTAACCACAATTGGCATTTCTACGCCTTTTTGCAACAAGAGTACTATGCTGGCTGTTTGTCCTTCTGGTTGTTTGGGGTATCCCAGAATGTGACCATGTCGTATTTGCAACGTCTGCTATATTTTTCGTTTGTGTATTTCGTAGAGACGTTTCTACCTCTTTGCGAGCTTCTTCCGATCGCTTTGTGTATTCCTTTTCTCCCGTACTATTTCCCCTAGTCGCTCCAGTTCTTTTTTTCTCTACACTGCTCTTGTTCTATCTGCCGTGCTGTCTTTCTGCCTTCTAGGATAGCCCATGCTTCTCTTCTCCATTCTTCCACACATGCTCTTCTTGTATTTCTTGCAATCATTTTCCTTGATCCCTAGCAGATCCAGAATATACTTCTCTGTCTTTTGCAATCTCTGGTACTTCCTGCAGTTGGAATTTGGAAGAAATCTTGCCTATAATGCTACATTTGGCTGTTCTCCATTCCCACTGTACTGTCTTGCAAGGAGGCAATAGAATACTTGGACCGGCTCCATTTGGATGTAGCTGGGTTGGGCTTCTACTAAACAGACAGTATCGTTTTTGCATCGGGATCCTTTGTATAGCAACGTAGTGGACCTAGCTCCACACCAGTATCTGTAGCGGAGAGTATATCTACCCGAAATATTGGACATGCTCGGAATCCAAAATCGGCTACAGCCCATTCTATCGCTTTCTCCCACGTAGCATCATCGTCTGCTCTTGTAGGAGCAATACGGACCCCAGAAATTCTACCTGTCTCTGAATGTGCATACCAAGCTACGAATATGGTGCCCTGTGCGCGATCTGCCAGAACAAGACAGTGGTCTCGACATTTCGATAGGTTTTCCAATTGTTTTGCTGGTGGTTGTACTATGAACAAGTTGGTGTCAGGAGGAGATACCATCTCTAGAGTTTGTTCTACCAAATCGTTTGCTATTTCTTCCGAGTTGTGTGGATGTGCGTAGAGCAAAACTTCTATGCGAGTACAACCACGGGTTTGCACATCTGGATGCTTAAAAGTTTTCCGCAAGTGTTTTGGTGTGGGCAATCCATATAGTCTGCCAGATGTTCACCTATTTGCTCCCGGACCATGTTTCTTCCAAATGTATTCCTACAGTCGCTTGTGGTCCAACACACCAGAGAAATCTCTTGTATAGTCGATAGAATACAGCCCATAGCCGTGTGCTAGTAGTTGGCATTCTAGTTTTGGAATCGACGTTTGAAGCTCGCCGATGGGTATTTCGGAAACGTCTATCTTTGCTACGAATAAAGCGTATGCCTTCTCTACCGGATATAGTTCTTGCCACTTGTCTTTCACTTTCTTTCCAGTCTCTCTCTCTATTTTAGCGATGGTGCTCCGTATTGCTTCACAGTTGTCTTCTCGTATTCCTATCATGTGTAGGATATTTGTTTACACATGTTTGGGGTTCGCCAAAGACTCTTGTACTGCGATGGAGATTCTGGAATTGACGAGTTGTTCGGAACCATCCCTTCCAGTCATACAGGATACTTTGGCGTTCTTGCAAACGCAGTCTTTGCGTTGGAGGTAGCCAAACATATATATCGTCTACGAATGTAGGTAGACTTTGCAAAGGTTGTAGATTTGTTCTACCAGGATGGCCAGCAAGATAGTCGACGCCGGCGATATTCGACACAAGATTGCTGTCTTCAGTGTTTTCTGGGAGTAGATGTGCTCCTACAGACTTTTCGACCAGCAGGGCCATTTTTTGGAAAGTCGTTTCAGTTGCCATCTTCTGCTGTATGTAGTGCTATACATTGGAACTACCAAATCTCTTATTTGAATTTTGCAAAATGGTAGTACCAATCCTAGTAGTCCTGACCATTTTTGTGCTCTTGATAAAAGACGGACCGCCGATAGCATTCGTCAGAGAGGAGTTGATGATCGTACCTCACGACACAGTCCCTTACACATCACCCACTGTGTGATGATAGTTTCTCGTCATGATTTTTTATCAGTCTTGCATGCCTATTTTTCTTCTTAATGTAGCCAGCCAGCCAGCCACCCGTACTCCAAGCTGTGAGAGAGACTCGCACTGCGAGTCGTCCTCCCACAGCGCTTGGAGGAGCAACCACCCCCGAGGCGACCCGAGCCTTTTTCCCAACTGACCCATGCTCACTTAAAAGTCAATATTTCAGAAACTATTCGACCGATTTTCATCAAATTTTGCACGGACCTCAGTAGTAGTATACACAATTTGGCCACAGGATTAGGGACTTTCCAATTATTCAATTTTTAAATTGAACCCTTGGGGGGTACCTGGTCCCGTAGCCCCATTGTGTATACTACTCTAGTCCCTGGCTGTCATCGTCATATTATGTTCATTCATACTCAAATTGAAGAATATATTCACGCAAAACGTCAACTTCTGAAAAGCATCTTTTATCTGATTTGCCAAGCGTACCATGAGGCCTGCTGACGTCGCTAGCTTACAGTATTTCATTTATAGCATGGCGTAACCACTTCATGTGAATAGGGGCTGAAATAATGCAAGTCCAGGCGATTACGCAACATGTTAAATCCACGAGAACACTGTTTGGATTTAAGACAAAGAGAAACAGGATTTGCGCCCTATCCGTATGTCATACCGATGCCACCTTTTAGAATTAAGTCAATATTATAAAGCTTTTAATGACACTTTGGGTAGACATTGTAAATCTTATTTTAACAACAAAAGATTACTTCTACCATACCGTCGTACACATGTTATTGCTATTTCGAAAAGTTAAGTTTGCATCTTCTTCGTCAAGTATGCACCTCAGTAGTAGTATACACAATGGGGATACGGGATTAGGGACTTTTTAAATTGAGCCCTTGGGGGTACCTGGTCTCGTAGCCCCATTGTGTGTACTACTACTAGTTTTTGTACTCTAAAATTGTAGATATGATAAACCTAAAAGATTCAAAATAATTGTTTTCCCAAAACATTTATACGGTACAGTAACTGTTATCTGTTTCAGTTTACTCCCGAAAACTACGTGCAAACCCAGGAAAAAGAAAGACGTCACAACGGATGAAGTTGCTCACTGTATCGTTTCTACAAGTTTGTTTCTCCTTCTGTCTCAACTACGCGGAATGTGAAGGCGTGAACTACTTTCTGAACGCTTTGCCGATGGCCATCAACTGTGAGCTTCTGTTCACCGAGACTGATGGACAACAAGACAGTGCTGAATGGACGTACTATCAACTCGTTCCAAACTGATTCTGATCTTATTCCACTTATTGTTATGTCCTCTTTATTTCCAGGATATGTCCTGTCCTACTCTTTACTCATGAACAACTAGAACAAGTCAAGTCAAACGATGATATTAAGTGATGGAATGGCACTCAATTACAGTATGTTTGTACCACTTACCATTTAGTGACAATGAATAAACACTATGGCTACACGTATTCGTCATTCATATTTCAGGCTTATGCTGAAGGTGATGTCCTCAATGGCGGCTTACGTGTAATTCGTTATTTTATTTCAACAAAAAGCTAGTATCAAATTAACGAACTATTTCTTAGAACAGGGACGATTTTTTATGGATAACGGTGTTAGCATCTACACGGAAACGTCGCAAAAAGTTGTCTGTCCATACAAAAATCGTCCCTGTTCATCATACCAGCTTCTAAATGCCACTCAAAGAAGTTATTTCTTAGTAATTCACTAGGATCACAGAGCTAAAAGTCTTAACAATTAATGTATATTTCGCTGACACAGGTCATGTGGTGCTGTACTCTTCATTGTTGAATCTTACCTTGATGCGTTGAGCAATAGATGTAAGAAGAAAGCCGGTGATACGGTTCTGAAAACCATGATAAATATCGATTGTGCTTTGTAATAATAACCTATTGAAATCCGAATCTTTAAAGGCATACAGATGTCCAATTTCCCATTTCTTAAATCAAACATTATGTATTCAGAAGATGTGGCTTCGGGAACAATATGAATATACAGGAATCTTATTTAAGTGTCCTGTCATTACTTCAAACATGCATTTCCCTACGTAGTGGTGGTTACAGATGTCACAGTCTGCTGAGCACCGTTTCGCCCTCAGACATATCTGTCACATATACGATTGATTTAGTCCAGCCAAGTGGAATATCAGAATAAGGATTATCAGAATATACTATTGAACGTCAGTGCAAAAGGGTAACCAGTCTTGACCATCCTCAGAAACAAATTCCTTTTGATGAAACAGAAAAAGAAGCGTCCTTCTGTGGACAATACAATATACAATATGATGTCTCGTTCTTTCTTTCCTGTGTATTTGTTACAGGACTAAAGTTGTGGTACGTTACACACAGGTACACACTGACAAGTTTACATGTATAATGCAGTATGTAGGCTGAAAATATAAATTCACAAAAGAGCAGATCGATCACACGCACAGAAGAGTGTCACTGTGTAGGAGTGATTTGATGGAAGAGGACGTCATGGCGAAGGTTACCACCGATGGCCTGACAATTCTAATCTGTATGTTAATGACTGGAACTGTTTTGGGCGTTCAAGGTAGGGATTCTATGACTAATTAAAGAATTATATTTATTTTTTCCAAAGTGGGTATTAATTTCCATCACCCCAATGCCGAAGTCTTCATAGTTATCTTTGAAACTAAAACTGAGTATTTTCAGTATTTTTTTCCTGAAGGTAACTTATGCTTTGTTAGAGTAAGATATGGTGTGGATGTAGTCTGCTCTGTAGAAAATTTTATGTGTATTCTGCTTTCAAAAATCGTACATGAATACGATGAAAGATGAACTGTACTTAATATATAATAATAATAATAGTCTATTCGCCCGAAAGGGAATTTGTAGTACATCAGCTGCTGTGAAACACAAAAGCAATAAATAGTACATGTAACAATATGCGAATCACCAAAACAACACAGCATTTACACAAGGGGACAATGACGTGACACGAATAACAAGCAATACATTCAACCACATCAGAGCAAGGATAACTGATATAGACAAATGTGCAGTTGGTACAAGAATATTATGGTAACTGGTGTATAATTCAAACATTATTGAATTAAAAATAGTTTCTCATTCAAGAATGAATATAATCTGATTGAAATGATCCACGGTCTGTTTTAAATTATCTAGTATCGCCAGTACTACTCATCTACCTCGTCTGTATTAACACAAATTGTGGCCATACCCGATGATGATATTGTTTATTACTTAGGGCATGTCACTTTGTCTCTTGTAATCAGGTATGCTGTTTGTAAATGAATGTCATATGATAAATATTGACTATTTCCGCCAGTATATTTTCCATAGTGGAAAAGATCTCTCCAGTTATGCACATTTCAAATTGGATGAATATTATTTATGTAATTTTGTAGGAAAATACAGTTTAAGGAGACTTTCGTGCTATGAAACCAAAGATAATTTCTTGATGTTAGTACACATGCTGGTTGAAAATTGTTTTCAAATGTGGCAGTGTTTGTTGATATTAAATATTAGTCGTTGCCAAGGGGCACTCTCTTCAGTCGGCAGTTACTCCAGGGATAGTGTTTTGATGGGTAAATTGTAGTCACTACGTGGACCTAGATGGTTCTTTGGTATGATTCGAAAGTGTAATGACAGAAATGACAGTGTACCTCCTTAGTGTTTTGCCACTATTTCGTCCTCAGATACAGTATCCGATCGTGATACTGATGAGAAAGTACTTTGTCAAGTTCAATGACATCGCTGACTGTGATTAGATATTAAGTTAAGTAATGTCTATGAAAGGGTAATGTGTAAACCTTCAGGAGTTTCGCTCTCTTCATTCCGGATCTGCTTCTTATGAATCAGCCAAGCCAATTACGTCAACATGTTTGACCTGTAGTCTCTGGCATGGTAATCCACTTTCAGTTGCTGCTGATTACAGCACGTTTTTATTTTGTATTTTTTGTATAGTAGTATGTATTAAATGATAGCTGACATGTATTTTGTGGAACGTGCATGGCTTTTATTCATTCATTGCTTTCATAGTCACGACACGACTGAAATGCTGATGATGTGTCTAACTCTCTCGCTTACCGTCTGTGATATGATCAAAGCTGTGTCAGTGTTCTCGAATGCGTAGGTCTTTGGTCAATCCATTATTCATTCGTTTGTTTGGCCCGAGTCAGTCACTGATACTAATGCTGAAACCACATTAACGTATTCTCCTCCACCATCGCAACTGGCTTTTTTCGCACAATACTAGCTCACTGCAAGTAAAAACGTCCTTAGATTATCTTGCACGGGCACACACAACGTTTTGTAGGATCAGACGTTAAGATAGGGAATAAATCGACAAATAGGAGGTAGTTCCGTTCAGGTATTGCTCCACACTGCTGGTTTCTATTTCATCTTCCATGAACCCGTGAAGATCCGGGTTAGAATTGACCTTCATTAACAAATGCTTGTCGTAAGAGGCGACTAACGGAATCGGGTGGTCAGACTCGCTGACATGTTTGACACATGTCATCGTATCCCAATTGCGCAGAGCGATGCTCATGCTCATGTCCGGTCCAGACTCGATTAGTTACAGACCGCCGCCATATAGCTGGAATATTGCTGAGTGCGGCGTAAAAGTAAACCCATTCACTCATTCAATCGTCTTCCATGATGTAGATTAATCTATCAGAATGGTAGCCTGAATACACTCACTCAGTCGATTTACAATGCACGATTTACTCTTTACATTTCCATTCTAACTGACAAATCATCGCTAGCCTGGATAAATGTTTCCCTCTTTCAGTTTGTAGTAGCATCTGCAAAGAGCATAGTAAATGTGTCTTCAAACAACTGATTATGTTTCCATGACTAACAACAATAACCTACGTTTGTCTTTAGATGCAAATGGAACTCTTACCATGCTTGGTGACCCGAATGACTTGTAAACGGTTGAAGTAATAGAATATAAGCTATCGTGAATATGGCTAGAAATAACAAAACCTAACAATGTCATAACCTCTTAAAATGTTATGACCCTACAAAGCCTCAATAATATCATATATATTGCCTTTTATGTCATATGTACTTTATTTGTGAATTAAAATGGAATAAAAAATATTTTTTAAAAATATAATAACCCCTTTAACAAACCAACCAATACATGCTCGAGATATCAGAAAAGTAAAGCAGTTGTGGTAAATAATGATATTTCATAAGCCGCCATTATAAATGCACCTCTTGTCTTCATAAACAACTGAAACCTTTGTTCACACTCGTTGACACTGTAACAGATTTGTCAAATGAGGAACTGATCGTTATTCACAAATTCAAGAGAAACCATCCTCTTCAGTTACATGATGCTGTCAATGGTTTATGTTTTAGACCTCTGAGTGAGAATGTTTCTGTGAAAGCATTGGTTCTATTTAAATGCTAAATACATCGATTTCCCTTGCACTATTTAGGTGAGTGCCCCGATCTCGGTTCATCAAAACTCTTATGTCATCTGTTGTTATTTACGTATAGCTTCATTTATTAATAATTGACATCGAGATAACACCACAGGTTTTGCTTGACTAGTTGATGAGAGGGTTTACTTATTTGGATATATACAGACTTATACAGTCAGGTTAGACACTCTTGCATAGCGGAGATGGAATTCACTACTTTATGACACGTGCTATTAACATCAGTAAGGTACGTAAGGTCCTTCAATGAGCGGCCATAAAACCTTCTGTCCATGATGTCCATCAAATAATTTACATCGTTTGAATTCGCTTTTGTCCTCAAAACAATCCCGTATTCGACGAGGTATACACCCGATGGAACGTTCAATGTCAGCTTGGTTCATTCCACCCCACTCTTCCTGAGAAGCAGCACCAAGTTTGTTGAGAGTGTGTTCTTTGTCGGTGACATATGGAAGACCAAGGGTATCCCAGGTATGTTCAATGGGTAGAAAATCACAACTTATGATGGACAATCGAGCAAGCTCTTTGGATAGAAATCCCAAACACCGTCATGCGAATCATATATTTAGAGTTGTAAGTAAGTTCTGTGTTTAGGGTTGCAGCAGTCAAGGGCCCGTTAAACTTGGCTTTGCAAGTGTTTGTTATTGGTACGCCCGTCGGGACCGGATTGGTTCACCTTTAGGTGAACACTTGGTGTCATCACCATTGGTAGTTATATATTTATGAATGGATATGACACAGTCGGAATGGTACACGGGATTCTGCTACACAAAAAGTAGATCTGATGTTTGATACAACATTTTTTACGATTAGAAAGAATACAAACACATCCAAGAACGGTATTTATCTTCGCCTACGATACTAAGTATATTTTTCACTTTCAGAAAGAACATATGTGACGGTTTTTACACAGAACTTCGTTGGCTATTCGTACAACATGTACCTCTACATTACCTCATCGCGTCCACAGCCAGTGACAGTTGAAGTGTTTGTTCCGTACCTAAATACCGCAGCTCCTTTCCAAAACCTCACGCTTGACCCAGGACAAAGAACCAAGGTCACACTGCCTGCTGATGTTCAAATGCCTACAGGGACAAGGACGTCAAACAGAATTATCCGCGTCGTGGCTTCCGACGATGTCACAGTATTGGCACTAAACGCCGAACCGTGGAACCTTGATATGTATCAAGTGAAAGAGACGAGTCAACTGGGAAAGGAGTATGTAGTCGTGGCGCCTGACTCTTACAATGCCCAATCTGCAGCTACAGTGGGAGTAGTCTCCCCTTTCCCAAACACTGAAGTGAAGGTCACACTTCCAGACATGCATCCTACCATTTCTGCAGAAGTAAATGGAGTCTCACAGATATTATCAGGAGAGTTTTCAATCACACTGCAGGAAAACCAAACGTTTCAAATTCAGTCCGTTAATGAACTTTCTGGAATGTACATTGCATCTAACAAACCCATTGCCGTTTTGACTGGAGTAAACAGGACTGAATCATCTAGCAATCTGTGTTTGGACGGGCAGATAACTCAGCTGTTAAGTTTAGACAAAATAGGCACGAAATACATTGCTTTTGGGCTACCTTTATCTAATCCTAAGGACTACATAAACATTGTCTCCACACAAGCTGGCACGGACATCTTATTTGATGGAACTACGTCAAGACTTACCAGTGCAAGGGAGATAACTAGACTACGTATTCAGCGAAATCAGTTCAAATTGATTGAAATGTCTAAACCAGCAGTCGTATCCATGACAACTGCATCAGGTCAATCACCCACTATCCAGGGTTCTTTGTCCAACTACATGCTTCATCCTCTTCCACTGAGAGACCTCGTCTACACAATCACAGTGCCGGACGATACAGTGATCTCAGACTCTCATAGATATCTTGTCATCATGGTTGAGAACGATGGCGTGGGCGACATTCTGTTGGACGACGTTGTCATCTCAGGAGCTTCGTGGATACCGGTCACGGGCACCAATATTTCAGCCTGCTTCTATCTGGTGACAGATAATACGGAGGCCAGAGTCCTGAGACACAGACAAGGAAAGCCGTTGGCTGTGTATTTGCAGGGCTTCAAGCATTGTATTGCATACTCTATTGCATTTGAAGCCAATGATAGAGATGTAAGTACACAGATATATTAAATATTAATGCAATGTTGTTGTGGTTGACATATATGATATTTAGTTACTTATTCAGTTACTTATATAGAAAAGTATAGATGTATTATTATTGATTATCATTATTATGAGGATATAGTCGGTATTGAGTTGAGTATCTAAAAGCTGAAAATGTATAATGAATATCTAATAAAGCAGCTAAATACAAATTAATTCATTGACCGAATAATTCTATAGCTGTAACTTTTACAGTTCAGTAACAAGAATGGCAAGCTGACATTGTACATTGATATCAATATAAACGTACGTATTGTGATTTGTTCCGTTGCAGAAAGTTCGCCCTTCGGTCACTCAGGCGCAAGGTTTGTATCTCTTGCACACATCATGTCTAAACACACACGTACATTTGTTAGCGTTGAAGCATTTTTGTGTAACACAATTATGCTCTTTCGGCAAATCAGTCCAATTAATTGTTTACAATATTGAAATAGATTTTAAGTTGGTGTTTCCTAACCGATCTTTATACGTGAGGAGGATGATATCATATCAAATGATGGTTCGGTGTTACCTCTATCGTCAACAACAACAAATGCATTAGCTTACATGCCACCGTTATTCGAGACAATTGGAAAACTGTCAGGTGATTGCTCGGGTAATACCCAAGATGACGGTGTCATGGAGTTGTTTGCTATTACAGCTAATTGTCAATGATTCTTGTGAAGATGACATTGTTAAATGATAGCTCGATGTTTTTCGTGAACCCTATATATTTTCTTGAAGAACGTAGAGGATTGTGAAATATGAATTTAAATAGTAATGCCAAATATAAGTAATGTAATTTTTGGCGTTGCAAATCCAATGCAAGAACGTGTATGCCTGTAACGAGTAACACCAAAACACACGTACGTAAAGTGTAATTTGGGACTTTGGCACTTTAAGGGAAGGTTTCTCGCAATCTTGTTGATTCTGTTTTTTCATAAAGATGTGATTTTGTATTTCATTCGTTGTTTGTGTATGAACCAGTAGTTCAGTATCTGCAACGTCAGGAGCGTCTGGCGACAACAGTATAATATCGATTGATCTCACGCGAGGCTCTACGAAATCGATCACAAACGGTAGATACATTTGCTGCAACGCTTCATTTGGATACTAGAGTACTACGAGACGATTGGTCAACATACATAGCTGTATGTTCGACGGTCAAGTGTTGTGCCACCCATTACAAATCGTCATATTGCCGTTACAGGTGTCCACAGCGTCAAAATTGGGGGAAATCATCGCTGATCACGTGTCAAATTTACAGATTGGTCCCCTTTCATTTTACACATGTTTGATAGACGCGGACGATATGGAAATGAATATCAAGCCAATGTCAATCTGAGACCTCATGTGAGATTTCGGGGGTAGATCGATTAGTTACGGAGTGGCATCACTATGACTGAGCGAACCCACTTGGACTATCGGGACGACATGCTGACCATCTTTATGGCACATTTTACAATGCGTGCGGGTCGACGTTTTGCCTGTCAATGCATTCGTGGCAGTGGGGTAGCCCAGTGGTTAAAGCGTCCGCTCGTCACGCTGAAAATCCTGGTTCGATTCCCCACATGGATACAATGTGTGAAGCCATTTATGATGTCCCCCAGCTGTGATATTGCTCGAATCGTTCTAAAAGCGGCGTAAAACCATACTCACTCACTCAATGCATTGCTCACCGCTCACTAAACGCAATGCTCACCTCCAGCAGTAAAACCTCCTCTGAAAGCCATGGCCAGCAATGGGTCCTTTCAAAGACTGAACACGACATGCCAGGGACGTCCATCACCGTCATAGGATGCTGCAACGATGGCTGTTGATGGCCAAGCGCTGCAAGAAGAGTGGAACAGTGACTCAAATGGTCATTTGGGGACTTATAAGCAGCATACTTCATCGAATGAATGAATGTTTGAAAAATCGTAGCGGTATTAAGCACTGCTGATCCTCAAGACGCCCACTTTCAAATTCCCTACCCCGATCGTCCTTCAGAACATTTGCGGTCATAACCTTAACTGTAAGAGTTAACTACTGGTTGCAATGTTGCTGGTTGCCTATTTGTTCGTTAGTATCATACAACTAATACCTATTTCTGTTATAAATAATATGTAAATATGTAAGTTTAGATTAACAGATAAACATATATTTGAGGATTGAAATGATCATAGAAATCCTTTGTGAGGTGGAATTAACAACATTTTAGACAATCCGTAATCATCCATTACCACTAACACATAAAGGACCATGGGGCTTATATACATTGTAGTAGTGAAGAAGATGTTTACGGGACTGAAACTGTTGTTGTTTTAGTTAACTCCCGAGACCTCCGTGCAAACCCAGGAAAAAGAAAGACGTCTCAGCGGATGAAGTTGCTCACTGTATCATTTCTGCAAGCTTGTTTCTCCTTCTGTCTCAACTACGCGGAATGTGAAGGCGTGAACTACCTACTGAACGCTTTGCCGATGGCCATCAACTGCGAGCTTCTGTTCACCGAGACCGATGGACAACAAGACAGTGCTGACTGGACGTACTATCAACTCGTCCCAAACTGACTCAAGAGATATTTTCTTTGATAGCAGGATGAGTCAAGTTCGTGCCCAACTAGGTACCAAGATTGTGGTAAAAGTGATTTTTGTGTCCATTCTTTTCATTTCACATAATGTCAGGAAGAAATGAGCTGGCTGATCGGTTTCCTGCAGTAAGGACAGAGTGAAACAAAATCTTGTCAAGAAAGTGTTTTGCTTTATTTGTTTGACAAATATTGATATCACATTTACTGGCACTTCATTACAATATGCTTCATATCACTTACTAATTTGTTAAATTATGTAACTTATTAAAACAAAAATGTAAATGACAGTATCAACTCATCCCCTGATCGTTTTGACGAATTAAGATCACCTTATTTTTCACTAATTTTGGTTTAAGAGCACACGTTTGATTAACTAAACGGTATATTGTTTTTTAATTACCGAGCAATTGAGCACCTCAGATGTTGTAATTAAATTACTAACTGTGTGAGAATAAACGAATGGAACAGCCCTCTACAATAAGAAACCACTTTCACCTGCGGTGACATGTTAATGACTATTTTGTATCTCCAGTTGGCATTGCGGACGCCATACAACCATTTTGAGTGGGAATTTCTCAGCGAAAATGTTACTTTGAATTTGTGATGCCACCCGTGGTTCAATGGTATAGTTGGGAGAAAAGTGTTCACAAACCTCCACCCCTGCGTCACATGGCGGATCTGCTGAAGGCTCTAGTGCTTGTGTATGACGTTCAATAATGTTCCAAATATGCTCAGATTCAGATCCACTCTCAAGGCATTCCAAGGCCGAGGTGTCACAACATTTGAGGAAGCTGGCTGTCAGTGTCTTCGAACAATAGGGTCTGGGTTTATCATCCACGAACTGAAGCCAATGAATGCTTGACAAAATGGGGGAATAGCAACTGACACTATGTGAGATTGCGTTCAATGTTATCAGATCCAGTTTGCAATCAAATGCGATACATCATAGTATCACTAGCAAACCTCCCCTATGTAATGTTTCGGTGTGTGTAAACTGTATTCAGCTGTATCAGAATCTCAGTTGACCTTGTGTAACATGGAGCAGTTTTCATCCGATCAATGAAATTTTCTCAGATTAAAAGAATGTCGCGCTCATCACAATGTCAAACAGAACCTTTGAAGGTAATCGGACACCACAGGGCGTTTGATGTTTCTCCTTGACGCCATCCAAGCCCATCTCAGGCAGTTTGCCGAGGTCCTGGTGGACACACTGAAAGTGGGTAGCCATAACTGCTTCAGGACGGGATTCGGTACAAATGGATGCATGTCATCCTAATCAAAGTAGTGTCTTACCTTCACGATGTGATCACTGTCAGTGAATCAGTGACTGTTTATCTTGGTACCTGTACCTGATTACTTAGAGACTGTTGTAAGTAGGGCACCATACCTAAAAGGCAGGAGACCTTTTGTAATTTATTCGATTTATTATTATTAGATTTTCGCACAATCAGGCTAGTAAAAACGCAACAAAAGCCTGTCCACATTCATAAGAAATCTTTGCTAAAAGCAGAGTCATTTGTACAGTTGTGACTATATCATGAGCATGTATTTGTTTCAGTAGCATTACTGCTGTGCGATATTTGTAAACAAATAGAGTCTGAACCAATCTATCCATTGATTGTCACCATGCGATACGATGACAGAGCATGTCCCTCATCAGCAGCTCAGGGCCCTTGCCAGCCCAAACAGCGAATGGGACTTCTCCCAGGAAACGCTGCGAAGTCGAACAAACCAAGAACTTTCCGGAGAATATATAGACTCCCCAATACTGCAGCCTTCTACATTACCCAGAGTGTCAGAAGGGATGTTCTCTCGGTGGAGAACCCGAGCACTCTCCGGATCTGTGCCTAGACATCAGGAGGTACCAAACCGGGGTACCGAGAACAATTGGGATCCTGACGACAGTGTACCTGGGGTGTAAGCGAGACATTTCAAAGGCGAGGGCCGCATATTTAGCATGCTTTCCCTGAATCTTACCAATCACTTTGCTGTCAAAAGGGATAAAAAATTCAATGATATAAGTAAATTCACTTGATCAGGTTTGTTGGCAGGAATTCTTCTTAGGCTGTATATGGGCGTTATTCCAAAGAAGTTTAAAAACATCATTTTCCATGACGCGCTGGACATATTCAGGGTCGTACCATGGATGGACCTTGGGGTCAAAGCCACAGGCATGGCAAAGACGTTAGTAGAAACAACGAGCCATGCCATCATGTCGTTTGCGTAAGAGATAATTATGTTGTTTGTGCCAAGGAAGGGCATCCACTGACAAGGTGTTGGACAGTCTCTGTAAATACATTGCACACTCGACATTTCATATTTCATACTGGTCTTGGGCAGCAAAATGAAGCCCTCATCCAGGCGAAGGAGTCGCTTATATTACTGTTCTGTTCCAAACGCTGCATATGCACACGATGCAGTGGTTTCTCAGAAAGCTTCTCTACGCATAGCCGACTCTGGGCAGACATGGTGAAAGTCTTCACCTGGTTATAACTCCCATCGCTGTATCGTCCAGCAGTACATCGCCATCAACAAAATCAACCTCAAATTTCAGATTTTGCCCAACAACCTTGGCACGCTTAAAATAGCTGTTGCAATTCCTTGTGTTTATCATGAGTCTTGACATGCATCACCAGAGGATCATCCGATCAATAAACATTTGCAAAAGTACACAATGCAATTCTATCACGAAGAGCCTCCACATTAATCAAACCCCGACCTCCAGAACTGATTGGCATATATAAACGATTAAGAGAGGAACGAGGGAGGTGGGCTCTGTTGTCAGACATGATCCTTCTGGTCAGGCGGTCAAGACTCTTGATGTCTTGTTTTGTCCATATCAACAGGACAGGCACAGCAAAAGTATTGGTGGCTTTGACCTTGTTTCGAGCATTTAGCTCGAAGTGCAGTGAGATCACATGAGGTTTGCCAAACACATTGCGAAGATTTTGTACTGAGTATTCACACATGTGATAGGGCGGAAGATTTTGGGATCAGTCAAGTCACCTATTTTGGGAAGGACTATTGTGCGACCTTTGCAGAACCATGGAGGAACATCGCCTGTGTCCACGAGAGAACTGAAACAGTGAAGTAATGATGTTTGGACACAGGGGTACAGTTTCCAATACCGGTTTCGAATGCCATCAGGCCCTGGAGCTGTATTTGATTTGGTCTTCTTGATAACACTTTTCAGGCAATTTGGTGAGATGTAATAGCTAAACGACCCAGTTATTTTCTCATGAATTGCGTGATCGTAATCACGGACCCATGGTGCCTCAAGGTTACAGACCACAACTGTTTCCATAACCTTTCTTTGGTATCCATGGGAGGCCGTTTATCATGTTCACCATCACCTTCTATTGTTATTAAATACTGGGTAAATTGCACCCCCACTTAACACAAACCAATACTACAGCCCAACCCCAGCAATTCTAAAGTTGTTCGACCATTATGTAACATAACCTGTATTGCATGCATTTTTGTTTATAGTGTTTGAGTCATCTGAGTATTTCATTAAGCATATAAAAGACATGTTTTGCGTGAAACATGTATATAAAAACTAAATCAAATTGAACGAATTCGTATACCAGTATGTAACTTCCTAAACATCGTCATACCTGAACATCCATTTATCGTCATCGCCATTATAGTAATGCATAATAGATTTGAATTTTACTATCACTGCCTTTATTGATATATTCACTGCGCACCCCTGCATCCCCCTCTGGATCCGCCTATTTATTGCCACTCAATCTTGTACTGCCACTTTGTATTCATTTGCATTGAGTTTGTAAATTTAGTAAATTTTGGAATACAATTATTGATCACATAACTATGTTGTTTGCCGGCTTTATACCTAGTTCTCTCACCGAATGATTTCCCAGTTAGCCTTTTAGTTTCAACCTGGGAAGCAACACGTAAGAACTTACTAGCTTCCGCTGAAATACCGTTCATCTTGACGACCCATGGATGTGAGTGAGTGAGTTTAGTTTTACGCCGCACTAAGCAATATTTCAGCTATATGGCGGCGGTCTGTATATAATCGGGTCTGGACCAAACAATCCAGTGATCAACAGCATGCGCATGGATCTACGCAATTGAGATACGATGACATGTGCCAACCAAGTCAACGAGCCTGACCACCGAACCCGATCCCGTTAGTCGCCTCTTACTACAGGCATTGGTTACTGAAGATCAATTCTAACCCGGATCACACAGAGTTCTTCATGTTGTAATTGCACAGAAAAAAGAACAACGGACAAACCGAAGAATCTGCAGGATCTGGCAAGTGTCATACCGGCTCCAAAAAACTGCAGTTGCAGGCAAGTGTCATACCGGCTCCATGGGGTTCCGGTCACATCACACAATACGGAAGGTCGACACCGGTTTCGTTTTAACTGATGTTTTTGAGTTCCTCAAACCCAGCAATCCACGCACGTTTTTTCAGCTGAGCTTCTTGCAGGTGCCATTATTCACACCTGTACAGCTACAGCGAAAACACAAGATCTGTTCCCGGCTACCAACTGACATTCAGCGATGTTATGGCCGCTGTGTCGAGTTACCCGGATGAGGGCCATCACGTTTCTTCTTTGTGAGGTCATCCATTGTTGTACTATGATGTAATTACCATCTCCATTATTCATCTCATGTCATCTCTCCATTATTATTCTTGTTTAATACTTGCTGGTTTTTGCTGTTTCGCCTAACTGTCCAACAATCACCAGTAATGAGGTTTAAATCTTGCAAACGTATCATGCATGTCCACATGGTTCTTGGGCCTAACTACCCGTGAAGGTCCGGGTTAGAATATTGATCTTCAGTAACCCATGCTTGTCGTAAGAGGCGACTAACGGGATCGGATAGTCAGGCTCGCTGACTTTGTTGACACATGTCATCGGTTCCCAATTGCGCAGATCGATGCTCATGCTGCTGATCACTGGATTGTCTGGTCCAGACTCGATTATTTACAGACCGCCGCCATATAGCTGGAATATTGCTTAGTGCGGCGTAAAACTAAACTCACTCTTGGGCCTAACTGTGGTTGTTGGTGATATATTCTGTCATGTCATGTCATGTGATGTTATGCTATGTTATATTATATATTGTCTTGAGTAGCCGCATTTGTATGGCTAAAAATATATAGATTACCTTAAACATATATCTTTGAAAATCTAATACTTTATGAGAACAGTTTTGTTTTGACAGGTTAAACAATCTAAATTCATGTACAACATGTAATATGTGCAGATTGTTTTAGTCACGATTTGGCTTATATACTGTCGATGTGACTAGAAAATCCTAGCTCACTCACTCTTTTTCAATATACCTGTGCTATACCTTTTGGAATGTCAAACGTTCCATATTGTATCATGGAATTTTAAGAGTTAATCAGCGTTATAACCGCTGTAGCCTCAGATGCCATACCCCAACAGCCATGTATATGTTCTAAGAAGTGATTTCCTGTTCTGAGACATTGTTCCAGCCGTTGGTTCTGTGCGTGTATATTGGATCATAACGATGTTTTCATTCTATTTGGTTAAAAAAGTATTCATTCAAAGATTTCCAAAACATCTAGCCACGCATTTCATCACACCATAATTACTATATGGCGTGACATTAAGTGCTCAATACATTTGCATTATTTCTTGACACATATATTTAATTAGTGTACATGTATATTGAAACATTACTAGTCATCGTTGCAGGGTACCAACACTGATATCAATGAATATAGCTACAATATATTTCATGCCCTTAGATTTCATAAATACGTTCTTGAATGAGGTTAGTCTTGATTTTGTATGTTCTGTTATAATTTCATCACAATTTAAACAATGTGTCTCGCGTTACGAAATACCGGAATTGTCCGCGCAGTGAGAGACATTTGTCGGTTATCATTCTCGTGCCAGGTATATTGACTTCATGTATTCAGTTTATGTAAATCATCTGTTTAATGAAGTATTGATCGTCTTACACAAACACATGAGACCGAGAACTTCACCAGGAAAGACATGCCATTGGGAAAAGTAATAAAATGGGGTCTGTTTTAAAAAGTCTTTGAGTATGAGTGATCGACACTCAAGAAACTGTTGTTTCATTTGTTTCGTATTGCTGGTATATTTATAATTGATTGAATGAGGAAAGGACTGATTCATTATTGTCCTTTCAATTTCATCTAGGGAGTCAAAACGTAACAATTTAAAGTGAAAGATTCAGGGGGTTCTTTTCAAACCTCTTTGTCTTTGGGATATTACTGTCAAGGGAAGTGGTGTAATATAAACACTTGCAAGCCGCATTGGAGGAACGCTACATGGATTCTTTACACTATTCATGGGATCGTCCCGACGTTCTCTTGACGTTTCTACACTCACATTATAATGCTATCGTTTGCACTAGTTTTTGGTCTGCAGACGGATAAATGAATGATGACGGAATGGCTCCGAACCCCAAGAGCTACGTCGGGATTCTTGATCCGCAGCATGTATAGACATATTTAACATGTGTTTTCCGTAGCTGTTATTTACAGGAACGGATAACAGTGATATAATGAGTTACAAGCTACCATTTCTAATATGGACAGTTGTGAGCAATAATCAGATATTACGCTTGCAAGTTGGAGAACATCTCGACTTACCTATCTACAACTGAGTACAAGACCATCTACATACACTCTACAACTCATGTGAATCCTCAGACAAATCTGTCAACATATCATTCTTTGAACCTCTCCACAGATCTGTCCACAAATCAAAGAATCCTCAGACAAATCTGTCAACATATCATTCTTTGAACCTCTCCACAGATCTGTCCACAAATCAAAGAATCCCCAGTCAAACCTTGAGACTATGATAACCGAGACGTCCCTTCCTGAGATACACCATTAGGTCAGACACATGAGTTGAGTAAGAATGACGATACGGAGGACGAGTTCCATACAACATGATTTGACTTGTTTGCGCAACCAAAATGATGTCGCACGTACTGATGGGATGACATTTGATACCAGTATACTTATCATTATGTGAAATTGGATTGAGGCAGTCAAAATGTAACGTTTGTTTCCTTCTATGGGCTATGCTGTAGTGACACTACATGGTATATCGCAAATGTTTATGCTGTTTAAGTGAACACAGCTTGTTTCTAATTATAGAGCAGTGATACATGTTAAGAGAGACAGCTGACTATTAAACTGACGTTGTCTTCAGAGCGTCCGTTTGAATTTCATGTTTGATGTCTAGCGCCGCACTCAGCATTATTCCAGCTGTGTGATGGTTGCCTGGTGACAACCTGGACCAGACAGTCCAGTGATTGACATCATGAGCGTCGATCTATGCATGTGAGATTCAATTATATGAATCAACCAACCATACTAGTATGATCACGTTTAGTGACAAGCGTGGGTGTGTCTGAAGTTTTTGTTGTCGTTTAACACTGCACTCAGCAATATTGCTGCTATGTGGCGGCATGGTTTGCTGAAGATCAGTTCTAACCCGGATCTTCTCGGGTTCCAGGTGGTTCCATGTTGCAGCTGACATAAGGTATATCCAGGTAGGTGGTTCGAACCACTGTCATACCCGAAGGCCTTAAAAGGATAGTACTTGTTGACTGGCGATCGACATCAAGTTGTTTACCAACCAGGGTCCAGATCCACAAAGAGCGCTACGTCATTTATATGTCTATTAAACCCGTGAAGATCCGGGTTAGAATTGGTTTTCACAAACCCATGCTTGTTACTAACCGCGACTAACGGGATCAGGTGTTCAGGCTCGCTGACTTGGTTGACACATGTCATCGTATCCCAATTGCGTAGATCGATGCTCATGCTGTTGATCACTGGATTGTCTGGTCGAGACTCGATTATTTACAGACCACCGCCATTTATCTGGAATATTGCTGAGTGCGGCGTTACACACCAACCAAGCAACTATAAGTATGTTATAAACTAAAGAGTTACCACAAGTCGTAACGTTACGAACGCTTTGTGGATCGAGGCTTCATCCCAAGACCAACTGTAGATATACTCCAACAAAACAATACTATTGTTTTGGGGAAGCACAAACACGTGTACGGTAACAAGATGTTCAATACAGTTTGTGAACTATAAACAAAAACGTCCCTAAGGTATGATTGATCAGACATAGTTAACAGTGCCACTGTGTACAGGAGTCGTCAGATGAAAGGCCACACGTCGAAACATCCACCTCACTCTATTTACAATAGAACGTTGCTTGTTAACTAGTAATCATTTAATGTGTACCGGTAACTAAATAACATATTCGCGTGTTCACACAAGAACCGTAATAATTGTACGTGCATAATGCAATATGTAGCACACTATTAGTCTGGCTGAAAGACAAAACCTACATACAAGCCCAAGATCGATGAGTCGCCCAGAAGAGCCTCACAGTGCTGGAGGTATTAGATGAAAGAGGACATCATGGCGAGGTGGATCACCGACGGTGTGGCAATTTTGGTCTGGATGTTGGTGACTGGAACTGTTCTTTGCATTCAAGGTAGGACGATTCTCAATGAAATACTATCCATTTTTCTCAAGTGGTTATTAAAACCCATTAGACATGTGCCGAAAATGAGTTAACTTTTAAATACACCCAAATATTGAAGTCACACGTTGATATTGTTCGGGGTTTTTGTTTAAAACATAAGTTTGATGTTGTTTTCTCAAATTATATAATTTTTGGTCACGTTACGCTATTGATGATACTGTTGATTCTAATTCTATTTTCATTTATGTAAGTAAACGTGAGGCAAAATAATACTATTACATTAGCCATGATATGATGTAATGGGAGAAATCGTTCTGATGTGTTGATTCCAGAAATGGAATGATTCCTCGGTTACAGAACCGAGACCATTTATATATTCTGCTTCCCCATTAAATAACGTACATGAAATTATTATATTATATGGGTATTTATATAGCGCTATAATCCACCCCATCTACACGCATGCTCAAAGCGCTTTGTTTTTCCGTCGATCATTGGATGTCAATCTCAACCGCACATCGTTTTGCAATCTAAACTCCCTGGGGATCATACAACTCGTGCAGCCACTGGGTGCACCAAGTTCATGTGGCTTTCCCATCCTTACGAGGTACCCACTCACAGCTGGGTGGACTGGGACACATAGTCACAGTACTTGTTTTACTGTTCAGGTTTTACTGCACGTTGCTGTACCCGCAACTAGGTGTTTGCATGTACCCATGTGGCCACCATCTGGTCATATGCCAACAGATTCGCCTCGGTTCTTTTGAGTGCACAGGGTTGTGTACTGTACAATAGGGGTTGTGACAACACTGAAAGAATCTGTACACAAAGGTTTTACACCTCAACGGTATTTACGCCTTGTCACAGGTGGGTTCGATGATTGATATTTGTCATTCTGAACCATGTTAGCATGATATTTGGTTATGCACATTTCATGATCACATGTACTTCCCATGAGTGATTAAATAAAGCGGCTTAAAACTAAACTCACTCCCATGAATAAAACGATAATTAATCAGGCAAATTATGCTCTTGAGTGAAGGCCTTTTACAAATTGTTTTCACCTGAGGTTATTGTAATTGAACCATCACATTTGTTGCCGACCTGATTCCGTGATAGTGTGGGTCATGTTCAGTGCCCCATGTCGGTTGTCATGAGGACTGGGTGTCACATACGTGTCACAAAAGTGTCACGTATGCTACATTCAGTGCAGGTCTACGTACATTTTTGTTGTGATAAACCACAGATTATTCTTGCATAGGTTCAGACAGCTTCACTAATAATTAAGCCTGTGATAAACTATACTCACTCGCTCGCTCACTAACTCACTCAATCAACCACTCAACCAATCACTCACTCATTCAACCACTCAACCACCCACCCAAACACTCACCCACCCACTCACCCACCTGGGGCTACTATTACTTCGTGTAAATTGCTGGTGTTCTCAGCACGTTTTGTTTGAGAACAACTTTGTACAAATGGACATATTACTACTATTTTTCCGACGTGGTTGGTCAGTGTGTCAGATAAATGTACAGAGCATTAGTACCAATGAAGAATAAAGTATTATCGCAATACTGGGGTGAGTGTGTAATGGGTTTGCTCACAATTAGATTTGGTGTTTGGTGAATAGAATATTCTTTCGCATGAACAGGAGAGTTATTTGTTTGTTCTTTGAAAATGTTAACATTTTATATTTGCTTAGATTCAAATCAACATGGTTGAACCTGAGGTTATTCTCTCCCCAGACAATACTGACATTCAGACAAGTTTCGAGACATCTCTTGTCGAGATTGTCAACATTGTCAAGATTGCCCTTTTTCAGCAACCGTATTTTTATACTGTACCGTCACTGAGCTGGCTTAGGTCACCGTGTATTCCATGCCTTATTACTGACTCCCTTTTGTCCCCATTACCTGGAGTGTACACTCTTTGCACTGGTAAATAAATAATGCCTGGAAAGGTGGTTGAAAACAAAAACCACAAGGGACAAATTATTCCTTGGTCCAGAATAGGTAATCTATTCTGGTGCTTGCAATACTGTATCAAGCATATCTGATGATTGATCAATTATGCTGACCTTAGGCGATCCTTGTAGGCAATCTATTCTTTCTGCCCAGGTTTCAGCGGTATACCCGTTACAAGACAAACGTATAAACTTTTGTTTTGGTGAAAGGATTAAGACTCATAATAACTTCAAATCCCACAGGGAACCCGCGCGTTCGTCTCCCTGCATACACAGTTTGTTTCAAATGCATATGTGAGCACCTTGGGTATGTCGTGAATCATACCTGATCTTTAGTGTTGAAATGTATATTTGTGCTGGGCTCAGGTAATAGGTGATATCTGAAGTTTGTTCGGCTAGGTACTACTAATCCTCTCGTGTGTTGTTCGTATTGATTAACTGTTAGAGTGTCTAGCTGAATTGTAGGTTGTACATATGAGGACTGTGTTGTTTTCTGACTGAACTGTACCTTGTATGTATTGGTTGTGGGGTTGCCTAGCTGGATTGAACACTTATGTCAATGTGAATCTACAGTTTGTATATATTGGTTGTGGGGTTGTCTAGCTAGATTGAACAGTTGTGCCATGTGAATCTACAGTTTGAGTATATTGGTTGTGGGGTTTGTCAAACTGGATTGGACAATATTGTTCATGTGACTTTGCAGCTTGTATATATTGGTTGTGGGGTTGTCTAGCTTGAATGAACATTTGTGTCCATGTGAATCTACAGTTTGTATATATTGGTTATGGGGTTGTCTAGCTAGATTGAACAGTTGTGCCATGTGAATCTACAGTTTGTATATATTGGTTATGGGGTTGTCTAGCTAGATTATGATTGTATGAATGTCAGTGTTGACATTAACTCACTGTTTCAACCAACTTCCTTATAGAATGGTTAGTAAAAGCTTGTTTCATACTGGGTTTTTTTAGCTTGAGTATATGCTTTAAGTAGAGACAACATATAATAATGATAGTAAAGCTACGTGTATAGCGCAACAATCCACAAAACATTAAGTATGCTCAAGGCACTTAAAAGAAGACAGGAAGGCAGAATGGTTCATTGAGTTAGTGCATATCCGAAAAGATTGGACGGTGTATTGTTTAAATAGGTTTTCAGGAGTGATTTGGAGGAGCTCAATGTGGGCGCTATCTTTATAGAGATTGAGAGATTGTCCAGTAGAAGGCAGTAGCACTGGCAGATGTCTTTGAGGCAAATGTTTTCAGCTGCCATGTTGGAACTTGGAGCTGGTGCTGGTTGGCTGAGCGAAGACGTCTTGATGGTACATACCGCTGTATCACGGCTGTGTTGTTAACACATTAATACGTGAGTGACAGGAGTTTGAACTCTATTCTCCCCTGTCCAGCACTGATGAGATATGCTTCGTCGCTTCCGAGCTTCCGAGTTCTGAAGTCTCTTCTGTAGTCTCCTCAGGTGTTCATTAGAGATACCGTACAGGAGACTGATACCATAGTCCCATCTTGAGAGAACAAGCGAGGTTATCAAAGTTGCTGCAGATTTGAATGAAATCAGATGACGGATGCAGCTTACTTTCCTGATGCGGAAGAAACATTTCTTAAAGATTTCGTTGATGTTTTGATGTTTCAGAGGTGTGATCTGATTCAGTCTTGCCTTTCGGCGAAAAAGTATGTCTTCGGTCTTTTCCTCGTTTATCATTAACATGTTCTGTGTCATCTAGGATTTCACCGAAATGATGCAGCACACAGCTTCCGACACTGTGTCTCTGGTTTCAAAGGGATGTTTGTATAAAGTTGTGCATCACCTGCGTAGAAATTATAAGGTATATCATCCACTGCAAGTTGTTTCCCAGAGGATGGTTGTATAGTGTGAAGAGCAGTTGTCCAAGAACTAAGGCTTGTGGTACTCTTGTGGACAACTTCATCTGATAATTGATCAAATCACTCCTGAAAACCTATTTAAACAATACACCGTCCAATCTTTTGTGCAGTGCCTTCAGTTCCATACTCATTACAGAGGCGTGGTACCGGGATGCTGTGATGAATTGGATCAAACGCCGCTGATAAATCAAGGAGCACCAATAAGGCGACTTCTCTGTTGTTAATGTATGTTGATATGAGAGGTTGTCCGCGGATTGAAACCTTTCTTGTAAGCCATGTTCTTGAAAATGTTGAAACAATCTCTTTTAGACAGCTTTTTCCAGTATCTTTGAGACAAATGGTAGGTTTGCGACCGGCCGGTAACAACATAATGTTAGGGTCGAGTGTAGGTTCCTTTAAAAGGTGAAGGACAACGACAAATTTGACATGCTCAGGAACAATACCATGTTCAAGGCTGCTGTTTTACGATTTTGACACTTATGGGAAGAAGTTCTTCCTTGCATTCCATCAACCAGTGGGTAGGACATGGGTCTAATCCGCATCACGTTGGCTTTGAGGAAGCAAGCATATCGGAGCTCTCATTCTCGGTGAATGGTTTGAAGCTGGTACACTTAGTACCATCAAAATGAGAATGTGTAGACTATGGCTCGTGATCTGACTTGACCTTGAACTGCCTTCAGTTTTTCGATCGTTTCAGAACGTATCCCATTAAAGTGTTTACACAGACAAGAATCTTCACAAATCTCATCAATATTACACTTGCACAACTTAGATGACCTGGCAAAAACAGCATCCAAACAATTCCATAGAGACGTTTCTGTTTTGGCACGCATGGACTGCCACCCTTGATTTAAATATACGTTCATAAATAATATAATATCAGGGTAATTGTTGTCTGCCATTTTGCCTTTTCCCACGGAGAATCTATACTGTTACAGGACAGTGTATTGTTCAACAGTATTGTATTGTATTACTGGTGTCCCCCATTGTGATTTGCTGAGATATTGCTAAAAGCGGAGTAAAACTAAATTCACTCACTGAAGAGTGATCTGGCTTAAGAAGTTTCAAACACTCACAACGTCAAGAACTATGTAACAATTTTAGGTTCTTAAGATGGCATCGACAACAACGACAATTCAGGGGTC